TGTTAAATAGTTGCGAAAAGCACACATGGATACGTTATAAGCCAGGTAGAAATCTGGGTTAGTTTGGAAAACTATATAAATGAACACATGTAAAACCTTCAAACTACCAGAAATATGGATTTTGTTAGGGTTTAGCAGAGTCAGTGATTCGGTGATAGAACGATCGTCAACCACAAACGTGATCCGGGTTTGACTCACGACCTTAACCAGTATTAAGCGGTGTGAAGGTGAAAGGTTGGGTGTGGGGCGAGCTACACCTTCCCCCTTTAAAAAGTTACAGCCGCTAGTGGAACTTCAGGATTCAAGCTTTAGGCCTTGATTGGTTACAGGATTTCATCATGAGCTGACATCAGTTAGAGAACCATTGGAAAACATTCTGAGAGTACTGGTTTCAGGGCGAGCTCGTAGACCATTGAGCCATTGGGACCCGATTCAGTGGCCGTGCCATGAATTCAAACTTGTGCCATTACGCAACGTAGCGCACCTGCTAGCCAATATCTTTGGCGAGTATTTGTCCTCATACCTGACCTGCAGCACCCTACTGGTCACGAATTTCTACAAGAACTCGAGGTAACTACCTACACGAATAGGGCAAGTCACCAGTTTTCCAATGGTTCTCTAACCAATGGCAGCTCATGATGAAATCCTGTAAACAATCAATCAAATCCCTACAAACCAATACTTGAATTTAAGCCTTGACTTGGGAAAAACTTAACAAGTGGTGTAAATTCTGTGACCAGTTACGTGAACTATTTACAACGCTTCTTGCAGTAATCTGTTTGATGCAATCATACTACTTTTAAAAATTAAAGCATCATTTATGTCAAATAAAATTCAACTAGATGGAAAAAGTACACAGTGAATAACTGAAACTTGACGTAGAATTTTGCCCTTTATTTTATTTCTTTACGTTCCCAGTGGAACATAAGGCATCAAGCTAGAAGCTTGAAGTTTTGGTAGCAGGAGTATTTATTTTTACGGAATGGGGTTGCTATCTTCATGCCCAATCTGCTGTATTTACCAGTCTTATTACTGGTTTAGCAAATTAAGGGAGTGTGTCGGTGGCCGAGTTCGAAGCCATGCATGGTCTGCCAGAATTCTACCGCTGTGCCACCGATTTTGCCTTAAAGCCCAACAATTCATGTTACACGAAGGTGAAGAAAGAAGACTTGAGTAGAGACGATAATGAACTCAAATGTGAGAAAGGAAGAACAGAGGATTAAGTAGATTTCGGAAGATTACAAAGACTGAATACATCTGTGTCAGTGGGTATGATTTCTAAACTTTTCACCAACAGTCTTCAGTCTTTTCTTCACGATATTTCCATGACCCCGGTCAAGCGATCCACACCTTCATACTTGAATCAAGTCATCAGTGACAGACTTCGTCGAGTGACTTTCGGTCTTGGCTTTTATTTTTCCGTAACGTTCCCCAATGGAACATAGGGCTTCAGGCTAGTGCCTTGAAGTTTCTGTAGCAGTGTTTATTTTACAGGATGGGGTTGCTAACCTCATGCCCAACCTTTCCTCTTCAGCAGCTTTATTTCTGGCTTAGCGAGGTAAAGGAGTGCGTCGGCCGAGGATCAAACCCCGGACCATGTGCATGGTCAGCGAGCGTCCTAACCGCTATGCCACCAATACGATGCTATGTCAGTTTGATGGCGACCGCCTGGCATGCGTAACACGTGTCCTGTCCAATTTATTTCAATATAATGTACTACCTAATACAAAAGGTGGAACTTAAGCGCCTAGGATCCACAAAGAAGGATAGATCGAAAGTATGACATCTTGCGAATGTTAGAGACTAAGTTAGTTGACCGTGGATTGACATTCCTGACTTGTGTCCTATCGGCTTCACAGTCTCAACGACTGATTTTCATCCCTTTCTAAAGTTTACCTGATGCTGGCTGACGCCTTTAATTTACTGAATAAAATATAAGAATTCCACTAAATTTTAATGTTCTGGCAGGCAAATTTATTTCTTTGCATCATGAAATATGAAGTATTTTATTTTTTTATTATTTTGATTCACAGCTTGACTCCACACCGTATTTTCAGTACAAGTGTGGAATTTTCAGCATGGATATCGGTAGCCCAAATTCAGGCCGACAATAGATATCGGGTGTGCGCCGGCAGGGGATCGAACCCCGGACCATGTGCATGGTCGGCGAGAGTCCTAACCACTGTGCAACCGACGCACGTTGACTCATCTATTAAATTTACAGATCTTAGTAACCACTTTTTTATGTAATAGAGCCATTTTTTTCATTAGGCACAAGCTAGTAACTAGTGCTATGCGTCTAGCCCTTTGTTTGCTACAGACGGAATTCTGCCAATCAAGTTTGTAACGTGAGCACCGCGCTATAGGTACCTCATCATCATGGTTCACTCTCAATTTTTTTCATTAAGTGGTTGGAGGCAATCTTTAGGAAGCCCTGTTTGACCTAGGTCTCGTGCTTGTCGGCAAATGTCAGCAATCTTGAAGGAACTCATGTCTCTGCTGAGATTCAAACCCATATCACCCAGTGCTACTATCGGAGACGTTGTCACCACATCACCAAACAAAGGAGTAGATACGTGACACTAATTCATACTCAGTGTCCAATTTAAGTATCCGATACATTCCTACAGGAGGTCAAGTGTGAGCTTGAATAGCTAAGTTGTAACGTTTCCGACTACCTCACCGGGTGACAGAGGTTGGAATCTGAGTAGGTATGTGTGTTAATCCAAGACTATAGATAAGCCTAGCTAACTAATGCGAACTGTGGGTCCGTTGCCCAACGGTAGAATGCTCACGGACCATGCATATGGTCCAGGGTTCGATCCCTTGCCACCAACGCACTCCTTTACCTCACTAACCCAGTAATAAAACTGGTAAAGAAGGAAGGTAGTGCTAGGTGAGGCGAGCGACCCCATCCGATAAAAATAAACACCACTACTACAGAAACTTCAAGCCTGTAGCTTGGAGCGCTATTTTCTACTGTGAAAGTAAAGGCCTAAAAAAGAACCAATGCGAACATCCAGGAAACCTAAGCTCAATGCTTCCAACCATCTAATTATGATAGAGCTATATATCATGATGAAGGAACCTCAGGAACTATTCATGCGATTCTTAATAAAGCAGGAATACTGGTGGTATTTAAACACATAAAGTTACTTAGAAACAAATCACACAACATTGTACAATAGAATGAGACAAACCAGCAGTCTTAAAATCTAATATACTAAGGGTGTAGATAGAATTCGGTGGCATAGAGGTTGGGACGCTCACCGACAATGCACATGGTCCAGGGTTCGATCCCCGGCCACAGACGCACTCCTTTACCTCGCTAAGTCAGAAATAATAATGCTGGTGAAGAGGAAAGGTTGGGCATGAGGCTAGCAGCCCCATCCTGTAAAATAAACTCTGCTACAGAAACTTCAAACCACTAGCTTGAAGCCCTATGTTCCACTGGGGAACGTGAAGGAAAAAAAGGATAGAATTCGGCAACTGAAGCTTTATTAATCGAGTCAACTAACAGTGCATTTAACACAATTTGTTTAACCCACCAAAAAATGTATCACCTCATTAAAACTCCAAGGTAACTGCAACCATCTTGATGAATATCAAAAGCTTGATATAGTGATTAAGCCTACGCTTGAAATATAGATGACATCGTCTCAGTGTTTTTTTCTTAAGAAGCACTGATTTACATTACGTAAGAATTCACCTCAGTAAAGAGATTAAATATCTTCGTAATCTTAACGTCACTGACCGTTCCGCTTTATTTTCTAAAGAAAAGCGGTTGATCGGGATGAATTAGAAATACTAACATTTACAATAAAGGTGTACATATATTCAGTCTATGTGTCCGAACTTTATATGGTTAAGAGACACCTGTCGCTTCATGAAGAATATTTTAAACAGGTTACTACAGCCTTCTATCACCACACTGATCTTTTTTCCACACTAAAGATCAGATGGTGGAACAGAAGGAATAAGTATCAAGAAACGCTTGTTGCAGACAAGTCAACAACCTATTACACAACAAATATGCATAAAGAAATGAAGATACATTTGACATTACACCCTAGGCAGGCCATCTAGCGGGACTCGAATAGAAATACAACGAGTTATGCATATATTTGAGGGTGACAAGGAGAAGATCGTGAGAAAAGTAAACGGAAGCCTGGAAGCAGCCACACAGCCGCTTGAAAGGGATAGCAAAGGACCGTGAAGAATAACAGTGTGGCGCTGAAGCCCAGTGTTCCACTCAGAAAGCAAGAACTCACTAATAGTAATCATAATCACCAGACATCCGAAGAGATTAGATACAGAAATCCATACACTTCTCTTATGATTCAAAGTGTTTGAAATATTAGCGATTGTTTCCATATCAATTGGTGATTTCAGTTAACTCTTTGGCGCATAATCAACTGACCCTAATCAGCTCTCTTGACATAAGTATGACGGCTTCTATTATCTAAGCGGAAATTCATGTGTACTGAAGTTTCCGCAACAGTATGATTGATTTTTTGGGATAGGGTCGCTAGCCCTACGTTTTACCCCTCCCCCCACCTCTTCCCCCAGACTTGAGGCAAGCTAGAGAACTAGTGAGTTAGTGAACTAGACGATGGTGACATACAGGATGTCATCTGAGGACGAGGAGGAGGAGATGAAAGACTACGGAAACTATTGGGACCAGTTGAAGAGGACCACAGAAAATAGGACAAAGTAGAGACATGCTGTTGAAGCCCTATTTTCCACCCCAAAACCCAAAGGAACAAAAATAAGTAACAAAATAGCCAGAAATTCATGTGAAATTCTGTAGCTTTCTTAGTTACATCCCAGTGTCATGCTACGCTTGACACTGACCAACCTAATAAGTCGGATTTGTGATAAATTAAAGTTGATAGTCGACATCTGTTTGCAATCCCAACTAAGTGGAATTGAAATCGATCATAACAATAATAGAGGTAACAATAATAATAATAAAATTGAGGGGGACCTCCTCAACTTACTTTACCAAATTCACTGAAAAAACTTTTCAATTCATCTGCAGTAGTCCCCGTAGATACACCACCGATAAACACTTTCTTCGTTCTAACAAGAGCTTGTGCAGCCAATAGAGTTGCAGACCATTGGTCTAAAGCTGGTGAATTATTATTATTACTATGATTATTAATATGAGGATTAATATTCGATGATGAAGATGATGTTGTGCAGTAGGAAGAGGGTACTGTTGAAGCATTCTGATAACACGGTGATTGTATTCTCGTCGAGGTACTGGACAGCATTTTCTCCTTAGTATATAGTGAATCAACGCTCCCACTTATCATAGTGTTATTATTGTTAATATTATTACTACTATTGTTATGATCAACGCTTTTCATATCCGTGTGATCCATAGACGTGGTATTATTCACTGGAGATATTCCTAAATCTGTAGAACTGATCGACGCCAATGAGGTATGATAGAGCAGGGCTGCTTGTTGTTGTTGCTGTTCTTGTAGTTGAGGTTTAAACTCATCCATGAGCATATCTCTGCCTGTGAGTATTTGTGTTTGTGTGTGTATGTGTGAGTGAGAAGGGGTAATGGTTCGATTGTTTTTCAATAAATTTCCCAATTTTTTTTCAATGATACAAATGAATAAATAAGTAAATAAGTAGTATCTTGATTTTTTGACAAATTAAAAAGACGCGCGAAGAGAAATCCAATCAATTACAAAAATAAATAAATAATTACAGCTGATTTGGAAAAAGGAATTCTATAATCACTGAAAAGTGATACTGTCAATACGTGAATGGTGGTTATATTTATATTTATATATATATTATCAAATTATGTCTGTATTACTTTCGAACAGAACAGAAATATGTGTGTGATATGAGCCTATCTCACGGTGTATTTCTTTCTCTGTGCCTGCTTGTCTGTATGCCTGTTAATGTGTACGTGTGTAGGTGTGTACGTGTGTGTTCAAATCCTTTGACCCACTACTATGACGACATCATAATTGTGTTTGTGATTGGCATCTATTGTTTGTTCACTGAAATGCATTAGCATAATTCTCACCTTAATAATTTCGTTTTGGCTTATTTCGAGGTTTATTCTATTTTGGTTTGGTTTGCTAAGTGCGTACGTGCGTGTACGTGCACGTGTGCGTGTGTATCAGAATAGGCGACCACTGATTGGTTGAAAAGTTGACAACCAATCCGCTGTCAGTATTATTCCAGTTTCAAGTTTCAATGTTTTTTAAAGGATCTTTGAAGAAGTAAATATAAAATTGAAATAGTTAACATACCAATGAAATAATCACTATAATTAATACCAATACCAGTATTTATTTTTATTACTAATTGTCGTAGTATTAGCTGAAGAAGACATTAAACTGTTCGACACTAAAATATTTCTACTGTACGACTGTTATCGTGGAACGTTGAACCCGCATTAATGGTATGATCAAGGTTTATAGGTGACCGCAATCACTGACATCTATCTATCTATCTACCTGGAGAGAGAAAGAGAGGGGGGAGAACGAGCTATAACTGTGTTTCTTGACTTGCACACCTACACACCAGTTACGTTTGTCTATTTGTTTATTTATGTACATTCTAGTTGACGTTTCCATGGCGGAAGAGTAGAAAATACAAAAAGATGGATGGCGAACTCAATTTTAATTAGAGGTATTATGTGTGTGTGTTTTAAAAATTAAGACCAATTCATGAATAGATTGATACAAAACGAAAATACAAAGCGCATTTATGTATACTTAACATAGTGTTATGCGGGTCTGTTCTACTTTACGACCTTTAGTTGAGTGATTCATCCAATGTGTACACATGTACACAAGAAATTCATAAAATTTTCAACATGGCAATTGAATAATCGATATTTTTATTATATTTAATGAATAAATTATGCATTTAGATGGTTCGGTGATAGAATGTTCGTAAAACACAGGTTCGATTTCATCCTGCCTAGTCTACCGGCCGTTCATAGGCTTAGAAAAAGAATGTAAGGTTGTAGGTGAGGCCAGCAAATCTCCTTCAGATGAAGAACATCACAGTCACTGTAAGTTTGACGCTTGAAGCTCAATAGGAAAGTAAGGAAGAAACAAAATGCAGTCAGAGTCCGCTGGCTACATAAATTAAGCTGAATTGTTGTACTAGTGACTAGTACTGGTGTATTCATGATCCAGATTCAAGTAAATCAAGCCTTTGTAAAGCAATTCTAACTAACTGACTGCCTACTGGCAACTGATTATCGGATCGACTTTCTGGAATTTCGCTGAGAAGTAGTGACCAGTAGAATTCACTGAGTTTGGCATTGGATCAGATACCTCCCAAATACAGTGGGTAGTGGTGGTGCTGTAGCTGGTTGTAAACTGATAGAAGTAGGATTTCATGGGTTATTTGTCTTCATTCCAGTGGTTGCGTGCAAACCTTGGTGGGGTAGACATGAGAAATGATAAACAATCCTTAACTGGAGCAAAACAACTGTTCAGTACTGCTTGTCACGGGATAATTGTTAGTGAAATCATTCCTGAACGAAACACGTAGATCAGCGAAGAGTCTCTTTTCGGCGAATTCATTTTCTTAGCTGTACAATCGCAAATATATGTAAAGGTTATTTTACATGTATGTGTACATTAAGTTTATCAAACAAAAATACAATTGGTTATAGTTATTTTAACTAAACAGGTGAAGATTGGTAATTGGAGTTACGTAATACAAAATTGGTCCAGAAAATTGGGTGTTATTGAAATTAGGATAGTAACAAATGTGATGGGTTGTCACAAACAGTTGTTAAAAAGGAGTTACGTAATAATATGAATAGTTTGATGATTGAGTTGTACTCAGGATACATATAAGAACAAAGCAGAGATTACGAAATTACTTAAGAGTTCTAAATGAATACAAGAATTATAAGCAATTAAGAAACAGGCAAAAAAACAAAATTAAGTCATCAAAATCAAAAAATCAAATCAAAAAAGTCGTTAGCGAAACAGTAGAAGTGGTTTCGTAATCCTCTTTTGTATGCACAGCTCCGTTTTTTCTATGTGAATAGCCAGAGCTTCAGTAATACAAAGAAGATGAAACTGTATTGCCTTTGGTAGGTTATTCTCGACTATGTAGATTACCTTGAAGCAGGAGGTGTTTGTTGAGATGGAATGAGCAGTGTGTTAACCAGGTGTTCAATTATCGCACTCCTTATTGCACCACGATTGCCTTTTCGCAACCATGCTGGCTGGATAGTGTTCTTGAATCCTCTTGGACAGGGTGCGGACAGGGTGCATTCCTGAACGATCTAATTACAATACTGATACTTATCAGGATGTTTCAACTAACTTTGTAATAATTATCCATTTTCCTCAAGTACTATGTGTTATCTTCTGACAGAACTCTTATTATTTGCCGATGTCCCTGTAAAATCTCCAGTTTCAGTGCTCCTCTTTTTGGGTGTGCGATGGTGCTGATTATGTGGTGTTTTGTGACAACGACTGAGTTTGAGTGAGTTACGATCATTCTGACCTTGGACTATGTGTGAGGATTATTCAGTATGTAAATCTTGTTGACTGAGTCTGATCCCACCTTGTTTTGAATATCCTAGTTGATTCTCAGGTACTTAACACGGTTCATTTTCATTAAATAATTCTGTTGAATAGTGCTTGTTTTGTACGAGAAGCTTATATGATCTGTGGAAATTTTCAGTCTTTGATGTTATTATCATCCAATAGCACTGGAGATTTTATTGAAAATAACCGTCGTTGAGGCATTTTGTGACGCTGAATAATTCAAGGAAGTTTTGATAAGCTGTGCGGTAGAGCCGAAAGGTCGGTTTGTTACACTGTTTGATTTTCAGTGATTCTCTAACTTATGTCAGTTCGTAATGTGCTTTGAAGTCAATCAAATTCTTGTAAATCAATACTTAAAGAGGTAAAATAAAATTCGGAAATCTGAACATGTGCCCAAAAGCCTAAGTCTCAAGGGAACAAACTCTTGTAATACCGTTATTACCAGACATCTCGATACAGGTCATGAGGTGGAAATCGCAAAATACTTTAAAATTATCGATAGATAAAGAAGCTCGATTCTCCTCAAGTTTACCGAAGCAATTTATATCAAACGCTTGAAACCAGATTTATGTGTTCAGGAAAAAGCAGTTATCAGTCAGTCTTTCTTGGCCCTTCCTGGTGACTGGATGTCTTTATTCTCTGATTTGATTACGTAATCTTTGACTTGAACCTTACCCCTTTGATGTAGTGCAATTTGGCTTCCCTTTAGTTTCTGTGATTTGGGTTGAACTCAGTACGTTGTTGTCGGTGGCATAGCGGTTAGGATGCTCGCCGACCATGCACATGGTCCGGGGTTCGATCCCCGGCCGACACACTCCTTTACCTCGTTATGCCAGAAATAACACTGGTAAAGAGGAAAGGTTGGGCATGAGGCTAGCAACCCCATCCTGTAAAAAAATACAAAATGCTACAGAAACTTCAAGCCTCTAGCCTGAAGCCCTATGTTCCACTGGGAACGTGAAGGAATAAAAAAAAACAGTACGTTGTTGCCTAATTTATCAGTCACTCAGCACCTTACACATACCCCACCCTTATTACGTAACTCCTTACCATTGTATGCATACATTTATTTTCTTTAAACTTGAACTACCAGTGTAAAAGCTATATAAGCGCAATTTTCTGAGCACTATTTACTAACTGCGGAACCTTCTATCAACTGACATCATGCAAAATGTCCAAGTACGTTGAAACTTTTCTGTACATAAACCTCATAAGGCTGTGAGCAACTGATGAGAAGTTAACGAAATAAATGATGGTACCATATTATTCTGCACAAACCACACTGTTGTTCTTGCTTTATTCAAATCCATCAAGGGGAATAAAACCATGAAGTAATTCAGAATTCATAGTTTAATGTTAGTGATTGATTATAGGTCTTAACCATATCGACAAAAAGTCTTTTGACTGTGGAAACATAAATTAACCAATGCAAAGTTGACTACTTCGGTTGCACTGTGGTAGACCGCTCGCCAACCACACCCTATGTGGTTTGGGGTTCGATCGCCGGCCACCAACGCACTCCCTCACCTGACTGAGCCAATAATAAGACTATTGAGGAGGAAAGGTTGGGCATTAGTCTAACAACTCCATCCCGTAAAAATAAATACCGCTGCCTCTAGATTGAAGTCCTGTGTTCCGCTGGGAACTCAACGGAATAAAAAAAGTTCATTACGTTGCTGAATATTTTTATGGTGCTCATATCACTGACATTTGTTCACCAATTTTCACAATTTAACAATGTAACTGCTCAGTAATTAAATTTTCATCAACAGATTTTAAACGTTTTTATCTGAAACCCTGATGCAGTTAAATGCTTTGACATCTATCCTTGAAAGACTTTGCAGATTGAGAAATTGATTCTAATTATTACCAGTTTTCCCTAGTGTTTATTCAGAACTCAAGTGATTTGGAAGGGTCGAAAGTTTTGATCTCAGGATTAGACCAGGCACATCTTTGTAGAGCTTAGCATTAAGAGAGCGAAACGCTCTTCTAGTGTTTGCACCACTTCGATCTACTGGTTAATGTGAGTATTATTCAGCTACTCATGTCAATCAGTCGGTGACATACGGTGTCATGCACTTCTGATCATTTTCTTGATTGTTATTCATGGTATCAAGCAGATCAAATATTTTGATTTGAATGATTTTGATTTCCAGAAGGTACCGTGTTCCTTTTTTCACATTGAAATGTGCATTTTTTCAAAAGAGAATTCGAATTAATAATAACTAAATACGTTATAGATAAGGCGCTATTCAAACTTTGCCTCATTGTAGACACCTATATTAGGACTGTAGCAATGTCTCGGAGACTAAGAAGGGTGGAAATAAGATTGTCTCATCAATCACATTTCAAAAAAAAGCAATCAAGATACAAAATGGTAAATTTTCTTAAACGACGAAAGAGAGTTCTGAGTAGCTTCGATCTTTGAAGTGTTGAAATAATTGACCTTTCTCCTTGAATGTATCGCATATTTTTTTCAATGAATTCTTTTGTTATTTTTTTCATTATTT